TACTAAAAGAATTATTCATAGCAATACAATTTAATCCACATTCAAATACACAAATTACAAGATATAGAGTCATTCCTATATTCTTCACAAGAATAGAAAAAATATCAAATAAATATTTCTACAAAGTCTTTATTGACCTAAACACTTGTAGGAGCCAATTAGTAGTATTTATTTAGATATTAGCTTTAGAAAATCATGTACAATGGTCATATAATCTATTTTAAAAAGTGCAATTGTAATCCTAGTTCATCCTACTATACATACACCATTACAACATCAACAATTGTAGGCAACAAATAAGCCAATTTTAATTCAAAGGAGATAATAGTTTTTAGAATTATGTAATATATTCTATAGAGAGGGGCATATACTTGGAGGGTACAACCATGTCAATATCACATAAACTAGCTATTTATATTCAAGACTATAGAATCATTATAGAATTTTGAATAAAGTTTGTAGTTATACAAGTAAAGATTAAATCAATTAAAATCCTAAACATCTATGCACCAAACACAATAAGACAGAGGATACAATTATGGAGCATGCTAAGTCATTATCATTTTCTTCAAATTCTTGGATAGTAGCAAGGGACTTCAATATAATAGAATTATATATAAATAAAAGCATGGGCTTTAATATACAATACATGGACTATAAAGAACAAGCAATGTAGACCAACTTTACAATACACTTGGACATCTTTAATATATTCCATATAAATTTGTACTATGAGATTAGTATCAAATGGTTTATATGGCAAAAAAAATCCCACACTTAATTTGTTCTAAATAGATAGATTATATATAAGTCAAGAACTATACAACTAAGGATACATATATGGCTTTTGGCCATAGATAGCATATATCTCGAATCGCTCTTCGACATTCTTCTTGATAAAATTCATAAGAAAGTGAAGGCTCCACAAGGCCTATTTTAATTAAGGATATATATATAGTGTAAAGGAAAAAAAGAAAGTTTATAATAAAGTAGAAGGTTGCAATGACCAACACCAATCTTAGTACCTTAGAGAAGAAGGTTGCAATCGCCTTTGAACAAATCAAAAGGATAAGCACATTGTTGAAGAAAGAAAGGAAGAAATAAGATAAAGCATGCTACGTAAGTCAATTCTACAAAATCAAGGAAGCAAAGCAATGCCTCTAAATAAACTAATTTAATTTAAAACATAAAACAACCTGAATTAAGCAAGAATTATCTTCAAAGAGGCCAATAAAAAAAATGGAGACAACCAAAAACAAATTAATAATACTATGGAGCCAAGTAGATAAAAAGTGCTGAAAAGAATTTTTTGAATTTCATAAAAATAAAAACACAAAATTAGCATTGAAGAACTGATAACTATCAATGGTAGGAACATGACAATACAAATCAAAGTAGTCAACAACGTCTATTAATTCTATAAAACTTTATATATAAATGATCTAAAGATTAAAAATAACCAAGTGACTCAAGACCACTACCTATAGAATATATCAATGAAGGTCACTCCTACACAAAATAAAGAACTTACTACCTCCATGTCCATAATGGAGGCTCACAAGATTGCAAAATATCTCCTAAAGAACAAAGTCACAAGTGAAGAAACCATATCCACCAAATTCTTTATTGAAATGTAAGATATAGTAAGTCAAGACATCACCTTGCTCATCAACACCTCCCTCAGCAACGGATGCTTCTATAGAGACTTCAACAATAGGATCATTAATTTCTTCTTAAAAGGAGACATGATATCAAACATTAAAAACTATGTCTCCATTATGGTGCTATCAATGATGTATAGATTAACTACAAAGGTCCTTCCTAATCGATATTGCTAACTTATAGCAAATCGACATAAATAGGATTTATTAAGAAGTGCTACATACTTGATAATATGCTGTTGGCCTAAGAGTCAATTCACTTGACTAGAGAGAGCCAATAAAATCTTGTCATCTTATTCATCAAGTTCAAAAAAATATACAATTGAATCAATTGGATTTTCTTCCAACAAATAATGAGAATATTGAGATTTTTGAAAGAATAGATCAAATAGATGACAGCTCTCTACCAAAACACTCAATCAACCATTTTGGTGAATGGATAGAAGAGTCAAAAGTTCACCTCAAAAAAGATTGATTAGACAAAGGTGCATGCTTGTATTGTATCTATACCTCTTTATCTTAGAGATGCTATTATAGATGATTAATAATCTTGCTTTCATAATCAAAGATCTTTGCCTCTCTAACAGTAGTATAATTTGTGATTAATGCTTTGTAGATGATACAACCTTCTATTTCAAAAAAACCCTCAAGGATATGTAATGCACATTAAAGATGCTTGAATTGTTCTATGCAATCTTAGACTCATTAATCAACTGGAACAAGACAAAGGGCTTTATAGATTAGACTCTTGAAATTATACCCTAAGGTTAGTAATATAAACAATATGGTTTATATTGCTTTGTTAGGTTATAGCATATATAGCTCCTTTGTAAAATCTTTATTATAGTATGGCTTTTGATCAAAGAATAGAGATGCAAGATCCAACAAGAGGAACACTACAACATATGTACCAACTAGATCTTGGAATGGCAAAACACGCTATCTTTGCATGTTTACATATTACTTCAACATAAAAAAAAAATATACAATCATGAAGAGGCTTGCGGACCTCACTACTCTAACATCATATGGAACGCTATACTCTAAGGCATATTTCTTACACTTACTAATGATATAAATGTAGAAGAATAAAGCACATAGGCAATAGCAAAAGATATTCTAGTATAGATCATGCATAACACTAAGCCCTCAAGAGAAGACTAATTATCACAAGACAAGTAACATAACTTTAGTCTCAAGTATATCCTAACAAATACAAACAATACATCACACATAGTTGATGATGAACAACTTAGGCAACACCTACAAAGAATCTAAATACTTAGATCTAATTGAGTATTGAGAACCTTATGGCTAATCTTTAGATATTTGGATGTATTCGAGGACCTCAAGTATGACATATAGGTTTCTAAAATGAAACTTTTCATCTAGCTCGCTTCATGTGCTATAGTAGATTAATCCATTGTAATTTTTCAATACTTTTTAATATAAGATTTGATCCCTCTTTGTAGTACTTCTAGAGCACTTAATCTTTTTCCAACCTACTTTTGAGCTTCTTCATATTTCCATCATAGACAATGCCTCCATTCTACTCCTCTTTGCTCCATTGCCTCTTTCACTCCCATCCCCACAACACATGCATCCTACTTGACATCTCTTCTCAAAACTCCTCATTTCTTGCCCCATTCCATCCTTCATCTTCACATCATTTTTTCAAAGGATTTTATTAATACATGTGAAATAAATGGTATAAATCTTAGATTAATTAAGTTTTGTGGATTTTTTTGTAATAGGAATTTTATAAAAATGGTTAAATTACTTTTCACCATTTTAAAAGATATTATAAAACTTTTTTGTAATGGTTTGAGTAAAATTATAAAAATGTTATTGAATATAGTAATAAAAAAGTATCATTGCAGAATGCCATAAAATAATTAATTTATAAGAATGAATTTTTTAATATATTCTTTAGTTTATTTTAAATCATGAATAAAACCTTAATATGCTATTATTATCCTGCAATTCAAATAAGTGTGTTTGTTTTTCTTTTGGAATTTAATCAATTTTATTTACAAGATGGAATTTAATTATTTTTAATTTTTAGTTTTCCTTTTCTTATTCATAAAATAAAATTTCAGAGTTACATATTGCGAAAAAGAAAGCTTGCATATATTTAACATCATCAGACGCAAAGAATAATACTTCTATCAAACATGTCAAAAGAAGAATCCATTGGATCCTTGTGTCCAGAAACAAACTGCATAAATCACTTTAAATTGAAAATAATCCTAAGTAAAGCTTTTTTGTTCATACATTCAAAAATATACAAAGATTGAGTTCCTCTCATCATATCTCTTTAAAACCCAACTTCAAGAAAGAAAAGTCTTAAAAACCAATGTCACTCACATTAACCAAAGACTTCATTAAAAACATTTTCATATATATATATATAAACACATTATATTGTCAGGTGAATCTGTTTTTTCATAATCTTTAAATCCTTGCTTTTGTAGCATATTATTTTATCATTCACATATACAAACAAATAAACAAGTGAACAATAATGTCCCACAGTCTTGAACTCCGTAAACTAGATCCAACCTAGCATTTACGTTCACTTGTACGCTTACTTGTACGCTTACTTGTTCGCTTACTTTTATGCTTACTTTTGCACTTACATTTATTTCGACGTTGCTGTGATGGTGTCTACGACGTCGAAGGCTCGTTTCTGCTTGAGAGCTAACGCCTCGAAGCTGAAGAAGCTTCGGAGCCTCGGCGGGGACCTGTTCCTGAAACACATCTCAGCATGAAGCAACACTGCACGAGATTACTCTGTTTGTTCTGGCAACGCCGCACATGATTGCGGCGAACTCATGCACTCGATTTCCACAACGCTTTGTCAGAAGCACGACCTCGCCTGCGCCGTAGACCCGGTAAGCATTTAGTATTTTAAAATTGTGTGCAATCTGTACAACAACTGTGTCCTGCTTGTCTTGAGGGCTGAATGTCCTGCTTAATGGTGGATGCGTGAAAGTAGGGAGGAGACTTTGGGACTCTGGAGGACTTGCCAATAACTCATTCCGTCTTAAATGCATGTCATAGGGGCGTGCGTGCTCTGTGACGCAACACACAACGACTTAAATTGAGAGGTATGAAGGCGCCTGTCCAAATCATTCTCGATGCGTATGCGTGTATATATATATATATGTATGAATGAATGTTATTACTGATGCTTGTCACTGTTGTGAGTCTTCCTTTTTTGGCAGCCTCATAATATCTCTGCGTCACCCAGCCTCATGTGAAAGAATCCTCGCATCCTGCGCTAGAACAAGTCGCTGAACCAACCATGCTCATGTCTGAGGTGCTTGGTAGGTGATTTTGGCCCTTAATGTTTTTGGCCATCGATAGGCAAAAGTAAGGGAAAGATGGTTTCCTTTTTGATAGGATTCCCCAAGTCACTCTGCGAATGGTGTTGGTGGCTGTGTGGAAATGTGATCTGGTCACCATCCACTCTGCCCGTCGGAGGTCACCATTCAAAATGTGGATCGCTGATTTTGGCTCAAAGCGACAAGTTCTAATTTGATGTTGATTTTGAAAATGAATTTAGGACGTGTGTGGTACTTGGAGTGGCTGCAGGTGCAAGCTGGGATATTACCAAATTCACTTGATTGTAGATCCGCTATCTGCACATTCAGGCAGGAGACTAGAAAGAGTGTCGCGAAGTGAAGGTTCGAGAGCGTTCTTAGAAGAAAGGAAAAGAGGTGAAAAAACATCATCATTCTCTATGTTCAACTGAGGCTTTATACCGTCTTCTTAGTTTTGAATTCGTGGGGGTAGAGGCGTCGGGTGTACATCAAGAAGCATGTAGAACAAATTTCTAGGTATTTTCATTCAGGCCCATGATAGTAATTGCACATGATAGTAGTTGCGAACGAGGGAAATTGGATCACGACACGGGTGGAGAGCGAGGTACACGGCACCCAAACAAATAAACCTGCTTTTTCTTCACAATGGGACCATTGCTTCTGATCATTGCAGTTCTGGCTTGGTTTCTTGCATCAGACCCGCTCGAATTCTCCACTTTATCTGGAATAGATGACTTTCATGCACAGTACGTAGCTCTACCTCCCTTCAATCCTCTCACAAAGATCACCCCTGATGCGGAGAACAAATTGCAAGCGTCAGCAGTCATTGGGACTGGTGATATTTTTGGACCAGAGAGCATTGTTTTCGACGCTCAAGGAAAGGGTCCTTACACAGGACTAAGTGATGGGCGAATTGTGTGCTATGACGGACCTGAGCTAGGTTGGAGCACTTTTGCCACCACCAGCAAGAATCGGTAAACCTGTTCTCTGAGATCCCTATTGTGCAACTTCTACATTTCATGACTCATAGTTGTCACCAAGATTTAGGGTCATAATAAAAGTCGCATGAGATTCCTCAAAATAAATTGCACTTGTGTCTAGGAATGGGCTCCAGACAATTGCTCTTGAAAACTAATTGCCAAAGTCAAAACACAACATTTTCTTCATGATTGCATAAAAATCAGATACGATTACTGTTAATCGTATCTGATTTTTATGCAACCATGATAATTGTTCAGCGACTAAAAATATTTTTACCATCTGAAGAAGTGCACACATGAGAGTAGGTGCACTAGATGGTCATCATACCCGTGGAATGTGGACAATCTTTTGGTGAAAAAGTGAATGGTCTAAGCATGTTTAACTGCAACTCACTGAATTCTATGAGCATTGAGGAACCATTGCATGATTGGCAGATTGTTGAGGTACTGGATCAAAGGCCCCAGTGCTAATACATGGGAGGTATGGATAGATCTGCCCGGAATACCGGACAATGTGCGCCGAAACAACAATTGTGAATTCTGGGTAGGGTTTCACGGAAAACGCACATTTGTAGAAATGCACAGTGGAGCAGTTCCATGGTTCCGTCACTTTGTTGCCAAACTCCCTATTCCTTCAAATTATTTGTATAAAATCGTTGCGCCAAAAGCCCATGCTCTTATTGTACGATATAGCCCTGAAGGTCAGGTGCTGGAAGTTCTTGAGGACCAGACAGGAAAAGTGGTCAAGGTTGTTAGCGAGGTAGAAGAGCATGATGGGAAGCTGTACATAGGGACGGTTCTGTTTCCTCAAATAGATATTTACACCCTGCCAACCTGAGCCTAAACCCAATCTCAGAACGCAGAATTGCATCCTAAATCTTTCAGGACACCAGTCTGACGCTTCCAATATGTTCACCCTACACGGTCTATTACATTCAGCGGATGTAAGCTTAATCTAGAAACGTGTATTGTCATGTTCATAACTTTGCCATGCATTTATGTTGCAATAAACCCTGTGTTTTGTTCCGTGGAGATTTTTTACAATGTGGTTCTGTAGCATCTTTTTCCACAGAATATCAGGTTCAAATGCTAAGTGGAGAAAAGAAAATTCCCTCAATTTCCTGGCAAAATGCATGTGGCATGGGTTGTGGCAATGGTTGCAATCACAATTGTCTGTGTCTGTACTATAGACAATTCCAAGAGATTGTTCATAATCAAGTCCACCTTAGTTGATAAGACTGTGTTTGAGAAATTGGACCTGTAAAAAGTTTGGATCCATAATCTTGGTTGAATTGTATGCAACTTGATTTCCTTCAACAAGAAAGAAGTAGATCAAAAAACTTCCACCAGCTGCTTCATCATTTGTCTTTAATAAGTTCTTGTCATGTTTTTTAGAAGTTCAATATTCAACTTGAATAATTGACTTTAATGTCATCCTCCTTAATCATTGCTTGAAAACAATAATAATGCTATCCAGTAAAAATTCATAAATGTATTTGTTAATATTTTATAGAGAAATTATGTTTTATTTGCTGATGTTTAACTTTAAATCATAAAATTCATTTAAAAAGGTTTCTTGGAAAGTTAAATCTTGGTGTAGAATAAATAAATAAAAAAATCAAGTTGTTTTATATGAACTAAAATATATATTTAATTATTTTCTCAACAATAAGCATACCTATGGAAAGACATTAAGTGGTATCCTTAGCCAATATCAAGATTTCTTGGGCATTTTTAAAAAAAATACAGATATTCTTCTAGAGCATTGATCTTATAATTATTCAATTGATTTACAAAAAAGAGCTCAACCACCATTTGGACTAATCTACAACTTATGTTAGAATGAATTGGTTATATTAAAAGAATATATTAATAAAATTTTTACTAAAAACTTCATATACCATTTAAAATCTTCAACTGGAGCTCCTATCTTATTAGTGGGAAAAAAAAGATGGATCTCTATAAATGTGTATAGAGTATCAAAGATTTAATAAGATGACCATCAACAATAGTTATTTCTTACTTCTAATTTTAATATTTTTTGATCAATTAAATCAAGCAAATATCTATACAAAAATAAATCAATGAGGATCATACAACTTAGTTTTCATAAGAAAAAGAAATGAATGGAAATCCGCTTTTTGAACTAGGTATGGACATTTTAAATATAATATCATGCCTTTTGGACTCATAAATGTATCAATTGCTTTTCAACATCTTATGAATGATGTTTTTTCGGAGTTTTTTTTAATAATTTTGTTATTTTCTATTTAGATGACATTTTAATCTACTCTAAAAATATAAAAGAATATGAACTTTATATTTTTCATATGTTATAAAAACCTAAAGATGCAAGATTATGTGCAAAGATGGAAAAGTATGTATTCTATATTATTAAAATTAACTTCCTTGGATATATTCAATAGCTTTCTATTTCAAGAAATTTTTAATAATAGAAATCAATTATAAAATCTATAATAAAAAAATTCTTATAATTATAGATTATTTTCATAAATAATGTCATTATTTAAAAGATACTTCTAATCTATTCATTGTGTATATAAATTACAAAAAACTTAAATACTTCATGTCAATGCAGATGTTGAATCATTACTAGACTTGTTGAAGTATGTCATTATCAAGATTTGATTTTATAAACACATATTCACCTGAAAAATAATAAGGTTTCTTAGACATACATTCTAGACATTCTTATCTTGTATCAAATGAAAGAGATGCAGCTTTTAATCAATAAATAATGATCATCTTAAAGCTTAAGTAATTTCATCTTTGAGCAATAAAATCAACATTAACTATTGATTCAATATTTGTCAAGTAAATTCAATCAAGTATTTCTTATAATCCTCTTATTTATGATATTAAGAATGTTTCTTCTAAGATTTATGATACTTCTAAATTCAAATTCAAGAACAACCTATTCTATTTTGAAGATTGCCTATATGTTTCAAAAAGAGAAGCACATCACGACTTTTCAGTGGAAAGGCATGTTTAATACAATAAGACTTTGGAGCTTATATCTAAGGATTTTTGGTGGCTGCAAATGTGAAAGATTATAAAAGACTTTGTACAGTCATGTGATATTTGTTCTCGATCAAAAACTTTTGATCATCAATCCTATAGACTTTTCCAACCATAGCTTATATTGAAACAATCGTAGTCTTTTATTTCTGTGGATTTTATTATGGATCTTTTAAGTTCAAGTTCATACGACTTTATATTTGTAATTGTAGATTGCTTCATCAAAATTGTATATTTTGTATTATGTACAAAATCTATTTCAAGTGAAAAAATAACCAAGCTTTTCTTTGACAACATCTATCATTATCATAGATTGCCAAAGGATATTATATTAGATAAAAGGACACAATTTGTATTAAGATTTTCGAGAACCATTTTTAAGATATTGAAGGTGGATATGAAATTGTCTGTAGCCTTTTATCTTCAAAGTGATGAATAAACAAAACTTATGAATCAAGTTTTGGAGTAATATTTGATATATACCATCAACTATTATCAAGATAACTAGACAAATTTTTTGCCATTTTTTAAAGTTTTCATATAAAAATTTAATATATTTTTTTATTCAACAAACATCTTTTTTTGCTAATTATGGTTATCATCTATGATTTGATACTTTTGACTTTTCAAAAGTTGATAATCCTATAGTGGAAGATTTGTCAAGTTGTTTGTCAAAGTTACATACAATAATAAAGGCACAATTAAAAGAAGCTTAAGAATGACAAAAGTTCAATGCAAATACTTATTATAAGGAATAATTACAATTCAATGTAGATGACAAGGTATACTTACTTTGTTGCAATATCAAAATTACTTGTCTTTGTAATAAGTTTGATTATTGGAGGCTTGAATCTTTTACTATTTGTGAATAAGTCAATTCTATTGCTTATTAATTACATCTATTGGAATCTATGAAGATCCATCTCATATTTCATGTATTTTTTTTTGAGTCATATAAAATGATGAATATTTCAAAAAGAAGACAAATGCCACCTCTTCCTATAGAAGTAGATAATAATTAAGAATTTGAGGTAGAAGAAGTCTTAGATTTAAGGTGATATTAAAATAGATTAGAATATCTTATTTATTACTACAGATATAAAATTAATGAATACATATGAGAGTCAACAAAGAATCTTGCAAATGCAACAAAGAAATTGAGTCTTTTCATTGATGATATCTATCATAATTAAGATAAAAAAATAAGATCTATAAAAGATAATCATTTCTTCTTGTAGAACTCATCTTTAAATAGAAGGATAATGTCATAGATATACATATTTACTCCAATAATTATCTATATGATTAAGAAGAAGTAAATAAAAATAAATTAATTTCATAATATCTTTTAATTTTTTTTTAAAAAACTTTATAAAATTTAGTTTTAACCTTATATATATTTGTAATTGATTGATAAATTAAAAACTTAATTAATAAATTAATCACCTATCACACATACTAATAGCTTATAGAATAAGCTAACTATATAATGCACATTTAGAAATTTTTTCTTATAAGCTAAGATATGTATCTTGCAAAGTCAATACATGTTAGAGACCTTATAGAACATTGTCACATAGTTTTTAGTTAGATAGTATATGTGGAAGCAAGAGTGAAGCCTTTTTTACTCTTATCAATGCCTTTCTAGTCCTTAGTCTTCTTTCAAAACTTACTAGTCTTCTTGTTTTTGGCAATAGCTATTCTAATTCAATATATTACCATCTTTGAGTGATTTTTTAATCTATTTGAGTGCTACAAGAGTATATTGAGTTTTCTTTCTTTGAGATTTATGTCCTTGATACATGCAAAGAAGATGACAGCTCAAATATTTTTTGTACATATACCACTAAAAAATATTGTCACTATTCTATATGAAAAAAATCTTATAAGTTTTATATTTTCTTACACTATTTATAATGAATATCAAAAATTATATGAAAATATTCTTGAAAATCATCCTTCCATTATTTTCTCAATGGATAATATGAAAGATAATAATTTTTAGTATACTTATCAATGTGATGTTGAAAATAAGATAACAAGTCTTTTTTTTTTGCACATGCAAGATGTGCTAATTAAGCAAAAAAATATACATCTTCTATTATTGTAGAGTGTATTTATAAAAAAAATTGATTTAAGATACCTATATTATATATAATGGTTATAATGAATTTTAATACCTCTTTCATAATTGCCATTTTTTTCTTCCAAAAAGAAATAGAGATTTTTTTTTCTTGGATTTTAATTCAATTGATTTAATTATATGGACATATTTGATATATTTACAATAATTGTGATATAAATTTGGCATTAATAAATACCTTTGAGATTATTTTTTTAATTTTAATATTTTAATTTATATTTGACATATTTAAAAAAAATATTTGAACAAATTACAAGATGTATTTTGCTACATATTTAGAATTAGGTTGATCTACATTTCTAAAAGATTAGAATAATGTCATAAATACTTTTACTTAAGTATTTTATAATAAATCATAGAATAGTATTTCTACCAAGTATAATCCAATTGTTGCTACAACTATGAAGTACTTGTAAAATACCTAAATTATAGAAAGAAATTTTTTTATAAGAGCTTTAATAAATGACTATTTATACTTTAGAAGTATTACTATTTCTAGAATTGAAGTCAATATTTTGCTCTTAAATCATATTTAAGAGTGTCTACTAAAGACTTACAAAAGATACAAATTTCTTTACTTTAATTTTTTGAAAATACAAAAATGGAGATAAATAGTCAAGAAAGTTTAGAGAAGATTTGTATATGCTACAAAAATATCATTTTTCTTTTTTCAAATGTTATAAAAAGGATAATAATATATGCTTTCAACCTTACCTTTAAGTAATTTAAGTGTGCAATTGAAGTTTTTAAAATAAACTCTTGCATAAGTACTTTGACAAAGACATTTAATATGCAAGAAAAATATGAAATAAAATAGAATAGTTTTGATTGTGGCTGA